TTTTGTTATTTTCGTTTGATTCATAAAGGTACATATGATATCAATTTAAACTAAATCATGTTTTTGTTCATTTTGCAATAGTCCATGTTAACACATGTTTATATTGGCGTTGTATCTCAATGAATCACTGACATACAGATTCAATAATTACACGCTGCATTGAAGTCATTCTGGGGCAGGGGTAAAGATTTGGGAAAATATGTTTTTCTTTTTTTCACAAAATACATCCTTATAACTGCCCTTTATCAGGAACAATGAAAATATCTAACATTTATTATTTAGTTAGAGGCACAGGAAGACTTTAAATTTGAAAAATGCATTGTGTCTAAGGGGGAAATCAAATTTGAATGCTGTTTTTCTACACTGTCTAGTTGGCAGTTGGTTAAAAACGTATTATTTATTCAATTGCTCTAAAATGATCAAAATTAATGTTACAGCTATACTTAAAGCATGGTGGCTTAATCTCACTTTGGCTTTTTATAACATTGAGTTACCCATACTTATATTTATGTACCTTTAAGCCGAATCATCATAGATTGTGTCCACAAGACTCTCTATATCAGCTTCGTCTGAATCCTCCGTTCTACTCAAATCTAAGTTCTTGCTGGATATTATGTCAGTCAACCCTCGTTGAAGGATGTTGCCTATGGTCCATTGACATTTCAGAGCATTTACTCCCCCTTTCGGCCACCCATAGCCCACAGGGTGAGCAACACTAGGGGGATTCTTGTCAGCTTGACCAAGATCAAGGCCTGGTGATCGCATGCTGCAAGTGCATGTGTAGGGAGTCTCTGCAAGATGGAAGGAGCCTCATGTCTACATCATCATAGCTTGTCATAGTCTGTCCTCCCTTGGGTTTTAACTTCTTCATGAAGATTTGGTAGCTCATTTACATTGTGTGTGATTTGACCATACATAAGACAGACAAAGGAATCCAAAGACCTCAACATGTCAGTAGCTATCTCATCAGAAAGTCCTATCATGGAAAAAGCATTCCCAAATTCAGGGTGAGGCTCGAGAAGCTCAATGGGGAGAACTCTGCCACGTCTGACAAAGGCACTGGTGGTATCACATCCTGTAAATGCATGAAGGGCTGGCTGGACATTGCACAGAGTGGACCCTTTCAGACTGATGATACTTTGTACATCAAGAAGTCTTCGTTTGTCACCAGTGCCTTTGTCAAATAGAAGAGAAGTTTTCACCTTTTGAACAACCTTCAGAAGCAGAATCAACACATCTGTATCATCTGATCATATCACAACTTGTGCAGCAGAAGGATGCTGAGCATCTACATGCCAAACGTGAAGAATGATCCTAGTTTCCGCTTCTTCCTGGAAGAAAGCATTCACAAAACATCCTCTAGAGTGACAGATACTGATTCGTCATCTGTGGTCATCAACCATTAAGTAAAACACTCTTCACCTTTCATAGAGAAGACTTTCTTTCCTTGAAGTCGACTCATCCAAATGAAAGTTGAGAGAAATGTATTTGCTCAGTTGGTTCTCTTGGTGTGAGCAACATGACACTGATGTCGAAAAAGACATCTTCATTCCCATTATCACCTGTTCCATGGGCCTTAGCAACAGATGATGGCTATCCAGTGAAAACCGACAAAGCCAAACTGCTGCACTACCTGGAGACTAATGCAAAGAAGCATGATTTGATCGCTGATGATGCTGTGCATACAGTAGATGGTAATGCCCTATACTCCAGTCCCTCACTGGCATCCCGATACATATTGATAATTATTTACAATTTTTTTCTATCGACGTTACATCCGATTATCAATCATCTTAGCCAGTACTAATAATTGTACAGGTCTTAGTAATTACATTACATTTATATAAACCGTTAGTTACGTAATAACCCATAAACGTTTAACGATGATTATATTTAACCAACACTGACATACGATAAACGGTTTGTACACGCCAAGCGATTAAACGGAAATGAGATTGTTCATCTCAATTTCTTGTAAAATAAATGACTAAAACGGATTGTTTTGCAAAATAATGAACAAATATGTACTCAAAATATAGATAAATATCCCTAGTATAGTGTTTAGGGCTGTGCAATATTATCGGTAAACCGGTATATACCGGTAAGGTATCTGACAATACGATTATCGCGATATGGTTCAGATTCTGCAAAATATTGGGTCATCCACTATTAGCTTCTTTGAATTATCTGCCCTCGATTTCCATGGCAAAAACAATGTGTTCTAAAAGTGCCAAATACACTTTTATATTTGTTGGTTTCATGCATAATTTTGCAAGTGGAAGTGTCATTACAAGTGGCTCCAAAAGAACCAAATATTCTACCAAATGCTTTACGTTTTGTGATTTTGAATTGTTTCATTTGGAGGAATTAAGTTGCCTTAAATGGACCATTTTTTATTTGGACTTACAGTAGAGTCTCTGGCTCTTTGTGACCATTTTACAACTTACAATATTTTGTTATTTTCGTTTGATTCATTATGGTACATATGATATCAATTTAAACTAAATCATGTTTTTGTTCATTTTGCAATAGTTCATGTTAACACATGTTTATATTGGCGTTGTATCTCAATGAATCACTGACATACAGAAACAATAATTACACGCTGCATTGAAGTCATTCTGTTGAAGCAAACAACACTGACAATCATGTTTATACTGTCGTTGTGTCTCAATGAATCACTGACATACAGAAACAATAATTACACGCTGCATTGAAGTCATTCTGTTGAAGCAAACAACACTGAAAATCATGTTTATATTGGCGTTGTGTCTCAATGAATCACTGACATACAGAAACAATAATTACACGCTGAACTGAAGTGCATTCTGTTGAAGCAAACAACACTGAAAATCATGTTTATATTGGCGTTGTATCTCAATGAATCACTGACATACAGAAACATTAATTACACGCAAACAACACTGAAAATCATGTTATACAGTTACGTTTATCATTGTATTCTCAAACCTTTGTTGTAATGCTTCAATCAAAAATTCCACGTTTAGCCTCTGTATCATTATATTCTCAAACCTTTGCTGTAATGCTTCAATCAAACATTCCACGTTGAGCCTCTATATCATCATATTAATCTGTAAACCATTGGCATACAGCCATACGCAATGGAGACGGGGAGCCTGAAAGTATGGTGTAACAGCAACTAAATATATGATGTCGCACACATAGAGCTATTATGAATTTATGATGTAAGCACTTGGGCACAAACTTTCTAGTCAATATATCACAATATGTATTGCAGTATCTCTTAAATTATTACAATATATCGCAATATGAAAATCAGAGCAATATCCAGTCCTAATAGTGTTAAACATTTAGAATGTGAAGAAACAAGACAATTTATGTGTGATACATGAAACAGAATTATGTTTGCTATCTTTGCTATATGATCCGAGTGCACATGCCGCTCACCATTGATAATGTTTTATGATAAAGATGAAGTCTTATCGATTACTTTGTATAAAACTCGTGAAGATCCGGGCAAGAATTGATCTTCAGCAACCCATTTCTGTAAATAACCGGATCTGGACTAGACAATCCGGGGATCAACAGCATGAACGTCAATCTGCGCAATTGGGATACGTGACATGTGTCAACCCAGTCAGCGAGCCTGACCACTCGATCCCGTTAGTCGCCTCTTACGACAATCATTGGTTACTGAAGATCAGTTCTAACCCGGATCTGCAGACATGCAGACGCTTGATATGTGCAGATGAACCACACACTAAATTTACTGCGTTTTATGTTGCATGTTAGAAACTCACACCATGGAATATACACTTTGGAGTTCACATCAACTTCTTTTTGATATTTGTGCCATTAGCCCTAACAGGATGCTCTGATGATTGAGTTCGAACCCCATATAAGCGATGTTTATGGACGTCTGAATTAACGACAAGTTTGTCTGTCCTTCCAAACTGAACATACATACAACCTGTCATATAAAAGACATTCATTTCAAACGAGGGGTTACCCATGAAGATCCGGGTAAGAATTGGTCTTCAGCAACCCATGCTTGTCGTAAGAGGCAACTAAAGGGATCGGGTTGTCACGCTCGCATCGTGGTTGACACATGTCAACGTATCCCAGGTACGTACATTGATGCCCATGATGTTGATCACTGGATTGTCTGGTCCACACTCGATTATTTACAGACCGCCGCCATATAGCTGTAATGTTGTTGTATGTGGCGTTAAACAACAAACACACAAAAGAGGAGTTAAATGAAATTTATTCATTCATTAAAATATTTTACACAAAAAATGTTCAAACGTTTGAAGTCTGGTCATGCAGTTTCATGAATTGTTTTGGGGGAGAAAAACTCATTAATTATCTAATAGAATAGAATGGGGTACCTTAAAATCCAATATGATTTGTGAGTGGAAACAAACGAAACATATCGTAACCTCATTTCAGCTTCACTTAAATGCATTTAATTTCACATCGTGTATTAAAAATAATACCACTTACCGAAATAGGAATATAGGACTGACTGACTGATTGAGTTTGGTTTTACGCCGCTTTTAGCAATATTCCAGCAACATCACGGCGGGGGACACCAGAAATGGGCTTCACACATTTTACCCATGTGGGGATTCGAACCCGGATCTTCGGCGTGACGAGCGAACGCTTTAACCACTAGGCTACCCCACCGCCCAGGAATATAGGAAACAAACGGGGATGACAAATGAATTATAAAACAAACCCCTTCATATATGCTTTTTATTAAACCTATTCCATGAAGTTCACATATACTGATCACATAAACAATTGAGAGCATTGATATTTGTTTGGATATTGGTGTGCTTTTTTCATATTGTGTGCTCAGACTTCACTACAGTGATCCCTAACTTCTTTTGTGCGGCGTACCTTTAATGACACAATCTAAAGACATATGAAACTGGTGCGTAATTTCACTCCATCAATCATGTGGGCACTCGTGTTTGTGTGCCAGAGCATAAACATAAAATATTGACGTCCGCAGTCCAAAAGCTCAAGTGAGCAGCTGTCAGCATTAGATTTCAGACAATGCCATACGTACTTATCCTGTTCATGGTTTATGCTCTATCGCCTTGTGGTGTTCAAGGCGATGCGCTTGAGGTTCTGTCCATGTTTGCTGACACGAGCGCTAAGAGAAGCACCAAGAGTCACCTCCACTGTGCTGTGAAATGCATGAAGCAGAAGGAATGTAAGCTGTTCACTTCATCGTTCTCCCCCGAAACGGGTTACAATGGACTCAATTATAAATGTATACTGGATGTGACTCCCGGCAACAGGTCTTCATACAATATTATAAACAACTGTATGACTAAAACAGTCTATGTGAAGCATCTCCCACAGGTAGGTACATATACCTTTTGTCATTTAATACGACGGTCAGGCAGACAGAGGTTTAGTTAGTGGCTTGAGGTCACAGGCCTATATTACATACAATATGTTGACATATATGGCTTGCATGCTTTGTACAGAAGCAACATTTACAAGACTCTCGTTTTATAATAGTTATAACATTATAACTTGAAATAGGCAGAGATCTAATAACGATAAAGAATTGTTCTTAGTCTTTTGTATAATAGTCATATGAATGGAGTTTTGTGTGTAAGGAGTATACACCCAGGGATTATTGATCAAATATATGTATCAGTTCTTGTTAAAGCAGCATGGGTAGGTATTTTATACACTATTTAATGTTGAAGTCGGTTTAAGTCGAAACCAATAGACACAAAGTAGTATTGAAGACTGGCAACAATTATAATGATACTGAATTTTAGACGTGACAAAAGTGGAGATCCGGGTTAGAATCGATCTGCAGCAAACCATGTTTATCGTAAAAGGCCAAGGGATCGGGTGTTCAGGCTCTCGATGGCCTGGTTGAGACATGTCATCGTGTCCCTATTGCGCAGATCGATGTTCATGACAGACAGACAGAAATATTTTATTAAAGTGTCACATGATATGTTACAGGTAAAACATTATTTCAAATGGCTCGATTACACATATCACCCAGCCATAACATTGGCTTACAAGACACTACTAAAACAAATTAACTAAAACAATTATAAAAAAAAAATAAATGTACAATATAAAATGTACCGTATCTACCTGCCGCAAATATTTTTGATTTCGGACATGAACACCACACAATGTAATGATTTGGACAAATATGACATCATAAAAAGACAAAGCAATGTTCAGTTTCATCTGTCCAATGTGGAATCCTGGAAGGGACATTGTCGCGTTGTCTCATTGTCGCCCTCTCAAAAACAAGCAAAATGTGGCAAAATTAACCAAAGCGCGACAAAGCGACAACGCGACATTTCGGCAATTGTCGCATTGTCGCGATGTCGCATTTTGAATGATATTTTTCTATTCCTCCAAAGGGCGACAAAATGCGACATAGCGACAATTTTCAAGATCAAAATATGTGGCGTTGTCGCATCATCTAAGAGGTGTACAAAAAGCCTAAAAACTAAAAAAGCATTGTCGCTTTGTCGCCTCATTTTGCTTGTTGTTCAGAGGGTGACAACGCGACAATGTCCCTTCCAGCATATCATAGTCCAACATGCTAACGGTTACAAAGCCAAACATGCTCTTAGAGAGAAACGGTTGTATAAATTAAGAGTGAATTCAAAGTCAGAATTTGAAATATTGCGAAACAAGGAAAAATGTCACAGACTGTATTTGTATCACACACAGCTGGTAATATATGTTTACGCAATGTCTTTTCCAGAGTGGTAAACAATGTAATAGTGGGGACAATACTCAAGTGTCATACGACCCTTGATCAGAAGTTGTTCGAATAAAGAATGCAACATGAGGCCGAAGTAAACCTTAGAAAAATTGTTATTGATAGATACGTGGAGGAAATGTTCATGCCATTCCCTATTTTGACTTGTACCATACGTTTCCGACTTTTTCGGATGAATAATTAACTAACCTCTGCAAATGTTTATGACGAGTGCCATCGATAGGGCAGGATACGCTTACCTCTTCATGGTGTCATACTATTTGATAGCGATTCATAAACACATAAATCACGCTGTAGTTGGAAATGTACAAGTGTCTGTGTTTTCAGCAGCAATTTGTTATGTATGTGGAAAGGCTTTTGACGCTTATATATATTAGCATTTAGTTAAGTAAAAATTCTAGTACATACATTGATTATATCGTGCAACACGTTGATTGTCTTGTCCGAACCGTGGTTACCAAATCCGCGACGACGATAACAGTCGATGAGAGCCAGTCAGATAACGTTTTAATTTACCAAGACAATCTAAACAAGCGATCACAATTTGCCAAACTATATCACCATATGTTTATAGTCGTAAGGGGCGGTAGGCCCCAGTGGTAAACCAGCACGTGTAACCAGGTGTTCGATTCCTAGTCGTACAAGGGCGGTTTCTGGTAGCCCAGTGGTTAACGCGTTCGCTTGCTAAACTCAATCACGCCGAATAGACCTGTTGCCAGAGTTCGATTCCCTACTTGTGATAAAGTGATGATACCGGTTGTGACACAATTAACCACGTGACTATTTATCAAGGGATGTTATTAATGCAGCGTTGAACAAAATTCGCCCTCTGATGAACGTTTAACGAACCCACTTGAGCATAGTGTCCATGATGATTCCTAGGGCTGAGAATCCATTATGGCCGTTGTAGCATTATTATCAGCTGAACATTTCCAGAATTCATTTCAGTATTTAGTTCCATCTTAATGGTGTCTTTTCATAATAAATGAGCCACTTAGTTTGTCTGTCGTTTACAAAGAGGCGAGATTTATCGATATGAAGGTATTTTCACCCAAACATTTCACTGTTTGATGTAGCGAGTGACTTATTGTATGACAGTAATAACTAGATTGAAGTTAAAGTGCGAAATATCATACATTTGACAACACATATGGCATCTTTAAAAGGCATTCTATTTGAGAGATGAAGAATCGATGAAAACAGATATGTATGGATTTCCACTTCAACTTTACCTGTGACCAACGCCTTGGTTCAGTATTTTTTTATAACTGTAAGACATCTCTTTTTCCCATTACATGTGACAAAAATATCCAACTGGTGTATTGGAATGTCAGTTCCCGCACCCAGAGTAGAACAGTGAGCACACCTTACTCAGAATTGATTTGTCGTTACATAAAAAAAATGCTGTCTGCGTTAGGGAGGGTCTCAAAATTCGTTCAGTTTAACAATATTAATGCATAAAAAAATATTCTTATTATATTAGATTAGATTGGACATCCTGTAACCATAGATCAATGTATAAGCACCTTCCTTCCTCTATTTCAGCAGTAAGAGGTCAGATCTAAATCTAATGAAATGTTTCCAAGATTTATTTTGTTGTGCGGTAAGAATATTACTGCCACTGAGCTTGAGTGATGCCCTACCCAGAGGAGCCGACTTGTCGTTATCAAAAGTTGTTAAAAGAGCGGATGTGGATACATCTATACACCAGCAGATGGTTATATAGAAAGGATATACTGACACTAGGCAATAAAGTCCAATCTCAAGCATTAACATACCATTATACCCAATTTACAGCACTGATAGTAACTTGTCAGATCTAATATAGAACTGATCCGACCTAAACACAAAGAGAGCATTACATATATACTCAGGTAAACATTGCTCTCAAAGGTAGTCTAAGTAGAGTTAGGGGAAAAGAAAGTATACTGAGAACTGTTGTTAACAATTATTCATTTCTGCTACTCTTTGTAACAAGTAACCATTTTCTGGAAATGTTTGTTGAACACTTAAGAAGACTGGTGTAATAGATGAATTTGCAACTATATGTTTGAAAGTAAGTCGGAGGTGCTGTCCAGTTAACTAGGGCTGAGCAATACTACCGATAAACCGGTATATACCGATACAGTATTTCGCAATACGAATATTGCGATATGGTTCAGATTCTGCAATAAATTGGGTCATCCACTGTTAGCTCCCTTTGAATTATCTGCCCTTGATTTCCATAGCAACAAAATGTGCTCTACAAGTGCTATTTATATATTTTATTTCTGTTGGTTTTATGCAACATTTTACAAGTGGAAGTATTTTTATATGTGACTCCAAAAGTGCAAAATATTCTACCAAATGTTTTAGTTTTGTGGGTTTGAATGGTTTCATACGTGACATTTTAGAGGAATTAAGTGGCCTGAAATGGACCAATTGTATTTGGACTCATTAGTAGAGCCTCTGGCAGCAGTCTGGCTCTGAGTGACCATTTCACAATTCACATTATTTTGTCATTTTTGTTTGTTTCATACTGGGACATATGTTATCAATTGAACATAAAGGCCTAAGTCTTATATATTTTGTAGGACTGTATAATGAGGATCTTAATTATTGGAGGTCACATGGGATTTTAAGCTCAAGTAGGTAACCTAAATCATGTTTTTGTTTCATTTTGCAATAGTTCATGCTAACATATGTTTATATTGGAGTTGAATCTGAAAGAACCACTGACATACAGTAACAATAATTACATACTGCATTGAAGTGCATTGTGTTGAAGCAAACAACACCGACCATGAAGATCCTGTAATACCATTACCTCTATCATTATTTTCTAGGGCTGCGCAATATAACCGGTTTACCGGTATTTACCGGTTCACACATGAAAACGATACGTATTGCGATACGCTGATCGAAAACCGGTATTTTGTCATGCATTCGGAAAACTTCGTTCACTCGGACATCTTCGGATATTTCCGTTTTTCACACCGGAAGTCATGCGTTGTTGTAAAATGGCGACCTCAACAACGAACAATTTATTGTAGTGCCAAATAATAGGGCAAAGGTTTCAGTATGGCAGCATTTTGGGTTAAAAAGTTCACGGTAGATGTAACTATTGATAACAGTAACGCGGTATGTAAAATATGCAATGCTAAAGTGAAATGCTCAAGCGGGACGATTTTATTTAAGCTTAATCAAGCATAGCAATTTTGTTGTGCGTTTGGTTTATAAATCAAGCATTAACTCGATTATAAGTAGGTTTTTGCTAAAAAGACTTTTTGCAATATTTTGCAATATACCAATCGCAATATATGCTTTCGCATCGCAGTATATCGCAATATGAAAATTCTCTGCAATACTCACCCCTATTATTTTGGCAAACTTTTGTTGCTATACTTCAATTAAACATTCCACATTAAGGCTCAATATCATTTTATTTATCTGTGAACCATTGGCATACAGCCATACACAATGGGGACGGGGAGCCTGAAAGTATGGTGTGACAGCAACTAAGAAGATGATTATGAGCTATTATGAATATATGATGTGCGCTCAGTCAATATATCATATATTGCAATGTCTCTTTAATTATTGCAATAAATCG